AGGGCCTTGCCTTGGCCAGAGGCCGTCAGCTGCTGCCTGGCCCCCAGCAGGGCGCTCCTCCCTCCACTCTTCCTCCCATGCTGTGGACATTTGCCCGCGTGCCCCCAGCCCCTCCAAACACAACCTGGCCTTCAGAGGCCAAAACTCTGTCTCCTCCTGGAAGTCTTCCTGAGAACTGGCTCTCTGCTCTTTCTCCTGCTCGGAATCTCTTCCATTCTGAGCCCTGGAAGGGCCTTGGTAAGTCCATCCACAGGAGTACAGTGGGAGCTGGCAGGGGCGCCACTGAGACCAGCCTCCGGGTCACTTCCAGGCACTGTTTGGCAGGCAGAGGAATGGTGCCTGGGAGACCAGGAACCAAGCCCAGCCCCAACTTTGCCCTTGACCCTCTAAGGGACATTGACCAAGCCCGCTCCTATCCCTGGGCCTTGGAGAGGGTTTAACTGGGTCTCTCCTGTGATGTCCCACTCCAGGACAGTTAGTATGTGGCTTATTCATTGGACATTCACTGGGTGCCTTCTATATGCAAAGACCAGGTGTCTGTTTGTAGTCCAATGGAGAATGGAGGTAAGCACACGGCTTCAATATAAGACTAACAGAATGTTACGTTATTACCCACCCATTCATGTCCTATCCACCCATCCTTCCTTCCCTTCTACTCCCTAGCCACCCATCCACGTGTCTATTTATGGATACTCGTTTATGTATCCATTTATCCATCCATCCACCCTACTCATCCTTCCATCCGTTCATCCATCTGCCCATCCATCCATCCCATCCATCCATCCATCATCCCTCCCACTCATCCCTCCCCCATTCATCCATCTACTCATCCACCCGTGTATACATCCACTTATCCATCCATCCACCCACCCCTTCAGCACCCTACCCATTCATCCATCCATCCACACACCCATGTATCCACCCACTTATTCACACATCCATCCATCCATCCATCTACCCACCCGCCCATCCACTCCACTCATTTCTCCACCCATCCATCCATCTGCCCACCCATCCATCCATCCCTCCACCCATCCATTCATCCATCCATCCACTCATACATCCACCCATCCACTCACCCACCCATCCACCCCACTCATCCCTTCACCCATTCATCCATCTGCCCACCCATCCATCCATCCCTCCACCCATCCATCCCTACACCCATTCATCCATCCATCCACTCATACATCCACCCACCCACCCACCCATCCACCCCTCATCCCTCCACCCATTCATCCATCTGCCTATCCAGCCAGCCAGCCAGCCAGCCACCATTCATCCATCTGCCCATCCATAAATTCACCTATCCATCCATCCATCTCTCCCTCCCTCCTCCACCCATCTACCCACCCATCCAAGACCCATCTAGCACCTAAAGCGCTTGGCCTTGGGGGAGACACAGGTGTAGGCAGGACATCAAGCCTTTAGGGGACCCTGTGTAGCAGTTAGAGGCCAGCTCACCAGTGTTCAACTCTTGCTTCATCACCTACTTTGGGCAGCTCTTGGACTTATAGGAGCCTGGTTGAGTTGGTAAATGAGACCCCCTCTCTCCATTTGGAGTCCTACACTGCCCCCAGGGTCCTGAGACCTGTGTGCCCCAGATGTTCATCCTAGTAGAGGCCCTGTCACCCACCTCCTGCAGCTGCAGGTGCCCCCATGCACGAGAGGTAGGGGAGCACCTTGGTGCTGCTTTGAGTCAGCCGTCAGCTCTTTCCAGACCTCAGTTTTATTGACTGCCGGGGGCTGCCAGAGTTATAAATAGATGTTCTTCAGCCAAAAATAGCCTTTCGGGAGCATCAGACTATGTTTCTAGCTTTCCTCCTTTTTGAAGACTCTTAAGGACGCAGGATTAAAGGCCCCTGCCACCTCCTGCAGCCCCCAAGAAGGGGCTGGCCCCCTCCTCTTCTCCTCTCTTGCTTCCTCTTCCTCCCATCTCATGAGTGCTCACACGTACATGATCTGGACACTGTCACTGGTTGGGAGAGGTCCTTGGGATGGAAGAAGCTGCATGAGCCAGAGGGCTGTGTGGTGAGCACTGATCTGGTATCTTCCACTGAGGTGTGAGTACGCCTCAGCCCAGGCTGCACACACACTGTGAATCTTTGCAGCGTGTGGGACTGGTAGCAGCCAGGTCTGCCCTGGGGCAGGGGGGTGGGGGCTGCAGGCCGGGTTGGGGCTGCCTCCAGGGAGAGGAACCTGGAGGCTGGGGACAAGCCTGGGGGAGACAAACCAGTACTTCCTACCATGTACCCAGGTGTGCCTTGGATCCTTGTACGATGTGCACATTACCTAAGATTTGAAAAGTTGGTTGGAGGCTGGGCGTAGTGGCTCACACCTGTAATCCCAGCACTTTGGGAACCGAAGTGGGCAGATCACTTGAGGTCAGGACTTTGAGACCAACCTGGCCAACACAGTGAAACCCCATCTCTACTAAAAACACAAAGATTAGCCAGGTGTGGTGGCACGTGCCTGTAATCCAGCTACTTGGGAGGCCGAGGCAGGGGAATCGCTTGAACCCGGGACTTGGAGGCTGCAGTGAGCCAAGATTGCGTCACTGCACTCCAGCTGGGGTGACACAGCAAGACTCTGTCTCAAAAAAAAAAAAAAAAAAAGAAAAAGAAAAAGAAAAGCTGGTTGTAGATAACATATACGGCTAAACCCGTTTCTGCTGGTCTGTGCACGCACCCACACACATGCATGCAAGCACACTAGGGATGGGAGGGAAGTGTCCGACTTCACACTGGGATTGCAGGAGTGCGGGAGCTGATGGGTAACACTGCGGTTTTATTTTATATCGTTTTAAGTTATTTAAGCTTCTATTACCACGTAACAGCTGAAACAGCGTTTTCCACCCTAAAAGTGCAGCTGAGGACCTGTGCCCATGCCTGGCCCCAGGGCCTGTTCTCAGAGCAGGGCCACAGTATGAGCCCGGGGCAAGTTTCCAGACCCAGCACACCAGGGGCCTGGCCTCAGGGAGCCTCAGGCCTGCTCTCCCAGCGGCCTCTGCTCCTACCCAGCCCACCACCAGTCTGAAGGAAGAGGCAGCCAGTCGTGGGGAAAACATCCACTTTAAGCTTTATTACAACACATTGTCTCCAAATACAAAGGGAGGGGCCAGGAGAGAAGGTGCGGCCGGCCGTGGAGGGAGGGGCTCCAAGGGGGGCTGGAGAGCCGGCAGCCCAGTCCACAGAGACTGGAGGCTCGGCGGGGGACCTGCACCCACTCCTCCGCTGGACTTCCCAGCAAATTACAGGAGGGGCCAGGTCCATTGTGAGGCATTCCCAGTGCCAGGCAGTGGCCAGGCAGGAGGGGCGGGAGAGGCTTGGGGAGGACTCCGGGCCCAGGTGGGAGAAAGCCACCAGGGTGGGGCCCTGGCCTGCCTCCTGAAGCACTGGAGGTGGCAGTGGCTGAGACAGGACCTTCTTCCCCACCCTGGCCGCTCACTTTGGGGTGACCAGTGCCTCAAGAGCAGGAGCAGAGATGGACTGAGACAGACAGATCCCCCATGCCCTGGAGAAGGGATGAGGGGAGGGGAGGAGGGGGCCCAACCAGTGGCCCCAGACTACTGTCTCCCAGACAGCATAGGGGTTGGGGGGCAAGAATTGGGAGCCAGTGCATCCTCCACACCCAGGGTCACCTCAGAAACCCAACGCAACAGACAGACGGGAGGCAAATTTACATAATTAATAATAATAATTAACCAATAACAATAAATACTTAAACCTCTAATCCATAGATTGCAAATACAACAATGATAGCTTATTTTCTTGGGGAACAGGAGTGGGTGGGGACAGAGGGAACAGGACTTTTGCTGAAAGGAGGGATGACAGGAACACAGGGCTATGGGTGAAAAAAAGAACAAATAGAAGAAACAGCAGAGAGGGTGGCTGGGCAGGGCGGGGTGGGCACCTCCCTGGCCCTGCTCCAGGACTCCTGACTGGGTCCTGCCTGGACCACCCCTCCTGCCCAAAGAGACCCTAGGGTATCTGAAGGGCAGGGGTCCCAATGGCCTGAGAGGGTATGTGGCAGGGGCAGCCGGCTGACCCACCTGGGCCCAAAAGCCACCTGTGTTTGGGGGCCGGCATGCCGCCTAGAAGATACCGGAGAGCGCCCTGCGGAAGGGTGCAAGGGAGTTTCTCTCCTGAGAGGCCCCCATGGGGCTCAGGGCAGACAAGGGGGCACGGCCTGCGCCTGCTGGCATCAGGGGCTTTATCAGGCCTACTGGAAGTATGGGGACTGGGCCGGCACCGACTCACCCCGTGCCAGGCGTCACCTGCTCATGTAACCCCCAGCCTGCAGGTGCACACCTGAATTCCGAGTCCTGCCTGGGGCCTTGCTAGGTGGGGACCGGCCTGGAACAGGACCCTCAGCCTACCCCCTCCTCATACCTAGGGGCCCAGGGCTCCCTGCCCAGTACACCCAGCACAGGCTAGCCGGGACCTTCCTGCCTGATCCCGAGGCCAAGATCCTCTCCTGCAGTGGTGCTGCCCTCCCCGGCAGGCAGCTCTGGGGCATGGGCAAGGGAGAGGGAAGGGCAGCAGCCCTCTGGGAATGGCCTTTCTGGGCCACCCTGTGGCTGGACCAGGGCTCTGGCAGGAGTGAGGGCATGAACACCCACATCCTCCATAGCCTCCACCTCATCTGATGCTCCAGACGCCTGGCCCCAAGCCCCTACACACATACTGTTCTGTTCCTCAGCCCCTCTGAACACGCTGGTACCACGAGGCCCAATGCCCGTCCACCCCCGGCAGCTCTGGGGCAGCTCTGGGCAACGGGCAGCCAGGTGCCCTCCCTGCCACCAAGATTTGGCGCCTGGAGTTGGTGGAGGGCTGGCCACGCTTCTCTGGGGCACATCAGCTCCTGCTCCCCAAACCTATGGCTTTGGTGCAGAGCCCGAGGCAGGCATAGAGAAGGGAGAGAGCAGAGGAGGTGGGTGGGGAAAGAAGGGGGGTTCTGCGGCTCAGTTTGTGGCAAAGAAGTTTTTTTTTTTTTTCCTTTTTTTCATCTTTTTCTTATGTAAAAAGTGCACGAAAGCTCGGCAGCCTTTGCAAAGGTCAGCAGTGTTTCCTGGGGCGGGGGAACTGGGGGGGCCCCAGGCCTGGCACCCAGCTTGCGACTGAAGGTGGCCTCGTATTGCTTAGAAACGTGTGTTTCAGTTTAAATACCAGACAGTAAAAATAGAGCTCGAGGACCACCCGCGCTGTTGCCAAATCATTGCCAGAATGAACAGCTTAAATAAATAAAAAATCGAAATATTTACTTCTCGATAAAAATCGCAGTAAAACCATTTACCTTTCTTTGCATTATATATAATATATATGTATAACGGGCCCGGCTGCGGGCGCTGGGACCCCGCGGAGGGGTCAGGACACCTGGATGACCTCCACGCTGCCCGAGAAGCTCGCCTGCTTGCCCAGGGCGGCCAGCTCCTCGCCGCGCGCGCGCCCCTCCACCATGCCCTCCTCGAACTCCATCTGGCAGCTGCGGCGCTTGAACTGCGTCGTCTCCGGGACCGGCTCGTCGGGCCAGCCCGTCCGCGCGTCCCGGGGCTCGGCCCTTGCCACCTCCCGCCGCCGCAGGTCGCCGCCGCTGCTGCCGCCCGGTCCCGGCGCGCCCGCCCGGCTGAAGGGCGCAAACCGCGCGCCGCCCGCTCCCTGCGCGCCCTCGGGGCTGAAGCACCACGGCCCGTCGGGTGACGGCGTGCCCGGGGAGTCGAGCGGCGGCGCCCAGGCCCCGGGGCCGGCTGGCTGGCCGGGGCCGGGCAGCCCGGGCGCTGACAGGGCCGAGAGGCCGTGCCGCGGAGTCTGCCGGGCCGCGTCGCCGAAGTTCAGGCCCAGGCCGTGCGCGGGGGAGCGCGCGGGGGAGCCGGCTGGGGGCCGGGGCCGCCGGCGGGGCCGCGGGCGCGCCTCGGGCGCGGAGTCCGGGCTGTCCGGGCTGGGCGAGGGCAGGCCCAGCGCGGCCCCCGACGGGCTGTCCAACTTGCAGAGCTTCGGGGCCTCGCCGGGGTCGGGGGGCCCGGGGCCATCGGGGCGCCGGCTGGGCGCGTAGGCCGACTTGATGTCCAGCGAGAAGGAGCGCTTGAGGCGGTTGGTGTCCTGCAGGCGGTCGGAGGAGAGGTGCAGGCCGCGCAGGCCCTGCTGCAGCGCGCTGGTGGCGGGGACCGTCGGGGGCTCCCCGCCCGCGCTCGGGCCGCCCTCCCTGGCGGTGGCAGCGCTTTCTGAGGTAGGTGGTGGCAGCCGCGGCAGCGGGGCCCCGGGCGCGGGGCTGGGCGGAGGCTCCGGCGTCCCCGCCGGGGTGCCCGGGTCGCCCTGCAGGGCGGCCAGCAGCTTCAGGCTGCGCTCGTACTCCAGCAGCTGGCCCAGGAAGTTGAAGTTGGGCGAGATGGACGGGCGCCGGTCCTTCACGAACCTGTGGGAGAGGAGGCTCAGCTCCAGGCGCCCCCGGGGCCAGGCTGCCCACGTGACGCACCCGCGGGCGAGCTCGTGTGCGCCGGGCTGGTCTCAGACCCCCTTCCGTTGCGGGGGGTCCTGGAAGGTGGGGCCCTTCTGGCGCAAGCGAGCAGCTGGGGGAAGGAGACGACCGACGCTATGAGCCACAGATGTGTGGCTGGGGAAGGCGGTACCTGTAGGCGTCGTCAGAGGACATGCCCATGGTCTTCATGATGTAGGCGATGGCGATGGTGGCGGAGCGGGAGATGCCGGCCAGACAGTGAACGATGACTTGGCAGCTGGACAGCTTGGCTTTATCTGGTCAGGTGGGCCATGGGGGCAGGTGAGGGCCCTGGGGGGCAGCTCCTCCCTGCCCCTGGTAGGATACCCCACCTTCCCGACTGCCAACCACCCAGGCTACTTCCGACGGACCCTTCCTGTGGCTGTGGCCACATCCGGTCCTAGCCTTCCTCCAACCAGGCCCTGCCCTCCACTGGCCGGCAGAGACTCACCGATGAACTCGATGGACTTGTCCAGCCAGGGCAGCAGCTTCTCACAGTAGTTGTCATTGATGGGGACCCGCATGAAGCGGCTCTCGCAGATGAAGTCTGGCTTGGGGCAGGAGTTGCTGGCGTTGAGGACGTAGCTTATTCCATTCTGCGTCATGAGATCCTGGAGGGACAGGAGGACAGGCTGGAAAGGGGTGGGAGCAGCTCTCCCTGCCCTGCGGTCAGGAGGGCCTTTAGAGTCCTGGGTGCTCCTGGGAGCCTTGGAATTTGTCCTGGATCCCAGTGTATCGGGGGTGGGCCCAGGAGGCCTCTCTGGTCTCCACCCTGGCATCCTGGGCCCGTGTGGGAGACGGGCAGGCTGGGCTCTGTCTGCAGGCCCTGCCCATGCCAGCAGTGGGCTCCCAGGAATGTTATGGTTGCCTGGGTGGTGGCTTTTACCCTTTTCACTTGTCACCATTTTTAAAACACAGGATTCTTTCAGAGCTGGCCAGGGGCCCAGTGACATCTGCAGCTTGGCATGCCAGCTCCCTGCTCCTCCCCTAGCCCTGCTATGGTCCTGCCGGGACATGGGTGAAAGCCTGGGGTCCTCCTGGCCCCCCCCATGCTTCTCGCACACCCAGCTCATGCACTGCCTTCAGCCCTTTCTCCCCTCGTCCCTACTCCGCTGCCAAGCTGGTTCTGGAGCTCCTGCCCTTTCCCACTGATTCCCCCCCCCCCACTCTGCTACACACACACCTTGTTGAGGACGTCTTTCTGCGAGCCCAGGTAGAGGTGAGGCAGGATGCGGGTCAGTCCCACGCTGGGCACGGGCAGGCAGGGCTGGGAGAGGCTCATGGGTAGCAGGGCAGCAGGCTTGCCCTCGCAGAGGCCGGGGAAGCAGGAGGAGAAGGTGGCGAAGCCCCCTGTGGGAGGAGGCGGCCTGTCAGGTGGGCTGAGAGAACCACCAGGGCACTCTGTCTGGGTAGGGCGCCCCGTCCGCCTAGGGCACCCCGTCTACTGCTGAGGATCAGTTACACCCAGCCCAGACCCGAGAGCTGGAGCCCAGCTGGCCAGCCTCTGGCCGAGCACCTGGTCTGGCTGCTGGAGGGCAGCTCTGGCGGTGGCAGGGGCGGGGGTGCTGCCACACATCCACAGCCCGGGCCCACGCCCACATTCCTCCTCACGCTAATGAAGGGCTGAGCCAGCTGAGGACGCAGCTGTGATGCCCATAAAGGTGGGGTTGAGGTGGCTGGCCAGCATGACACGCACTGGGCCTGGGCAGGGGCGGGCGCAGAGACCACAGGGGGCTCCCGCTGAGGGTGTGGGTCATGCACCCCAGAGGAGAGGCCCTTGCCAGCTCCTCCCCCCATACCCATGGCCTGGGGCCAGGCTGGGCCTTCCTCCTCCCCGGCGCTGATGCAATGCCTCCCTGCCTCCAGCTGGCTGGGAGCCCCATGCCCAGGCTTGGGTGCCAGGACCAGGAGGCCAGGGCTTCCAAGAGGCTGTCCCCTCCCCCTCCCCAGGCATGACATCACCCTGGCACAGCCCTCGGGGCATTTGCGTCTGGTTATGGCTCTACTCCACCAGGCAGGAAAGGGAGAAGAGTGGAGGAGCCCTGGGCACCGGGGGGCACTAAGGCAGGCAGGGGGCACTCGGGCAGGCAGGGGGCACCCACTGCACATGTGACCAGCGAGTCACCAGCCGCCTCCTTCCACACACATCCAAGTCCAAGGCACAGGCTAGTGGGAGGAACTCCTCTGCCCTCCATCGACTGGAAAGACCGGCGCGTGAATCCCTGGGACGTGTGACTCAGTGACCACGGGCAGTGCATGTCATGCCTCAGGTCTCCGCGTCCTCAGCCTGCCTGCTGCATGGCATTGTGCAGCTTCGAGAAGATACTGGGGACGAGGACGCACAGTGAGAATGGACCTGGCTGCCCCGACCTGGCTGAGGTGACCATCAACGCGGACCAGAAACTAGGCAGCACTCACCTGGTGGCCACCAGCTCTTGGAGGGTGAGGCCAGCACTGCCCAGCACCACCCCAGGGACACCTTCTGGGACATGAGCCCCCATGGCAAGCTGGCTCCTGTTGGTGCAGAACATGAGACCCTGGGCTAAGGCCTGCCCGATCCCCATGGAGGTGGCCGGGCTTTGAAGGGGGTGGCGCTCAGGGCTAGGGGAACTCAGAGCTGTTTTGCCCTGGTGTGCAGAAGAGGCTGGTGCCAGGGACCTGGATAACTCAGCATAGGGGAGTGTGTGCAAACCCCCAACCAGAATGCCTGCTGTGCCAGCTCCTCGTGTCCCCCAAAAAGACATGATGGTGGGGGCTGTGGAGACAGTGGAAGCTCCAGGCCGGGCGGGTTGAGGCAGCAGCCTTGGAGAAGCAGTCCCCTCCATGGGAACCTGCTGGCTGGACAGGGGGAAGCAGGTGACTTGTCACCAGTGATGCCCCAGCTTGCAGGTTCCCCTGAGCAGAGGCTGGGCCGTGGCTGGCTTCCGCTCACCGATCTGAGCCAGGGGAGCCCTGGATGTTCTTGATGTCCGGGAGGGCAGGGGCCGCAGTCTCTCTGCAGACTCGTCCCTGGTAGCTGCTGCCTCCCACCTCCCTGTGGCTCTCCCAGGGATCTTGGGCCCTACTCTCTGCTTTCTTCAGGGCCTGGCCAAAGGGAGTGGTGGTGGCAGTGGGATTCCATCAGAACCCTCCCTTCTCCCACAGGAGGGAAGGCAGGAATGTCTCTGGACAGGTGCAGGGACTCCCAGCTGTGGCAGCAATTCCCTGGGGAAGCTTCCCAGGACCTCCCCAGGCAGAGTGGGTAGCATGGATGCCCCCTACAGAGCCCACTGTGGACGCCAGGCCTAGCAGGGGCTGAGGCTCCAGGGATTTCAGAACCACCCAGGCTCTAGGGCGGCTGAGTGACAAGGGAGGGGCGTTGGAGTTCAGCGAGGGACCCTTTGTAGGTCCCAGCACGCTTTGGGCCTGGGGAGGCACCTCTATCCCCAGGCCTCCCCAAAGGCGCCTTCCCACTATCCCTGCTCCCTGACTCAGGGGTGTGAGGGGGGTTGCCTGCAGCTCGCCTGCTACTCACAGTGAAATCCCAGACTCGAATGAAAGCGTGTGTACCAGGACGCGTGCCTCTACCGAACCACCCGGCAGACCCCGCAAGTGCTTATGGCTGCAGTCACAGACATGCTTCTGCCTGCCACCTCCACGTCCCCCGGACTCCCCGCCGGGATGGGGCCCCCACCCCACCCACTTGCAGCGCAGCTCCCCAGCTGGGGTCCAAGGCCAACTGCAGGCCACTGCTTAAAGGGCCAGGCCCCTCTCCCCTCCCCTGCCGCTTTGCCCCCCAGCATCATGAGCAGCGCAGCTGGAGGTGGGGAAGAGGAGCAGCAAGGGGAGGTGGGGTTCACCGCAGTCCTGGGACCCCAGCACGGCCTCTCCTCCCCGCAACAGGGCACGTTTTGGGGAAGCAGGAAAACCCGCACTGTTGTGGGGAGGAGAGAGGGTTGGTCCTCACGCTCTGGCCTGTACTGTCCCTGCAAATGGACCAAGGAGCTGTCCTGCCTGTGCGGCGGGACCCCAGACTGTCCCTTCTCCTGGTAAGTGCGGCACCCCTGTCCCACTCACTATGTCACTTCCCACTCTCCCTGGTTCTTCCAGAGCCAGCCCAGAGTAGGGTCTGTGCCCACCTCAGGGTGGGAGGGGACCTGAGGGCACGACCCATGGGGGGCCATCCCGAGCTCGGGTCCTGCTTGGGTGTCGTCATGAGCCTCCTCTATACCATGGGGGCCGGGACTCCTTGGCAGCTGTGCTTCGGGAGGAAAGGGACAAGGACTGAGCCATGCAGGGCGGATGTCGGCACAGAAAGGCAGCTCAGAGGGTCCCGAGAGTCAGCGGGCACTGCCAGGCCCTAGGAGCACCCTCCTGGCAAACCCCAGCCCAAGCCTGGCCCCTCCCATGCCCACACCCATGCCCACCTCCGCACCCATGCTGTCCCACCCACCAGTGCTGGGTGAGGGCCCCAGCTGCCCACACCGTCCCCCCCAGCTCTGAGGGAAACAGGACCTTCCAGGCTGGGGACTTTCCTAGGATCCACCTAGGGGGAGGGGGCTGCCACTCTGGGACCCTTCTCAGCCTCACAGAAAGGCCTTCTGGTTCCCGTTCCTGGCTAGGGCAGCAAGCTGGCCCTCAGGAGGGGTCCTACTACACCGGGAAGCCTGTGAAAAGCTCCGAACTACTCTCTCTCCCCTCCCCTCCCCACCAGTTCAAATGAACCCAGGGGGTGAGGGTTGGATCAGAGTGTATCATCCTGTGGCTTCTGGTTCAGAGAATTCGCACATGTGCACACAAATCCCACAGCCCACCCAGACACGCACGGGCGAGTACATACACAAATACACCTACGTGTACATACATGCGTGCACACACACATGCTCTCATGTGCCCACGTACACACACATGCAGAGGCAGATGCTGATCACCAGACCCCCTCTGACCACGGCCACCCAGCAGCGCAGGGCGCTGGAGTCGCATGCAGACAGGTAGGGAGGGAGCCTGGCCTCAATGCTCCTACCATAGACACCAGACCACCCTTACACCTCCTGGGTGCCCTTTAGGTCCCAGGACATGGCATCTCGGGAGGTCCGCCTGGCCAAAGCGGCTGTCACCCCTCACCCCCCCACAGTCACCCTCAGGCTAGGTTGAAGGTCCCTCTCCCACTGGATGCAGGGCCAAGGGCCTGGTCTGGCCGCCCACTCCCCACCCCACCGTGCCTGCACCCCGCAGTACCCCACACCCTCTGCTTGCCTGCCACAGCCTGGTAGCAGAGGCTGGGTGGCAGAAGCCTGAACACAGATCCCAGCCCTGGGTGGGGGAGGGTGCAGGTCCCTGGGACAGGCCAGCTCCACCCGGCTCTGGGACCTGGGCAGACCCAAGGAGGTGGATTCTTCAGGCTCACTCTCAGCCACAGCCCAGGGGAGGAAAGCACCCTCAGAGATGACGAGTGTGTATGAGTGCATATGAGTGTGTATCTGTGTGTATGAGTGTATATGAGTGTGTATCTGTGTGTATGACTGTGTATGAGTGCATGAGTGCGTATGAGTGCATACGAGTGTGCATCTGTGTGTATGTGTATCTGTGTGTGTATGAGTGTATATGTGTGTATCTGTGTGTATGAGTGTATATGAGTGTGTATCTGTATGAGTGTACACGTGTGTGAGTGTGTATCTGTGTATACGAGTGTGTATCCGTATATTAGCATGTGTATACGTGTGTATTGTGTGTATGAGTGTGTACAAGTATATACGAGTATCAGTGTATATAAGTGTATATGAGTGTGTATCCGTATACTAGCATGTGTATACGTATCGTGTATGAGTGCATATGAGTATCTGTGTGTGTGTATCTGTGTGTGTGTGTATGTGTGCATCTGTGTATATGAGTGTGTGTATGTGTGTATAAGTATATACAAGTATCAGTGTGTATGAGTGTATACGAGTGTATCTGTATACTAGTGTGTATGAGTGTATACGTGTATCATGTGAGTGTGCATCTGTGTATGAGTATCTGTGCATATTAGTGTGTATGTGCATATGTGTGTATCTGTGTATACATGTGTGTATGAGTGTGCATCTGTGTGTATGTGTATACGAGTGTGTATCTGTGTATATGTGTGTATCTGTGTGTATGAGTGTATATGAGTGTGTATCTGTGTATATGAGTGTGTATGAGTATATATGTGTGTATCTGTGTATATGAATGTGTAGTGAGGTGGCTTCCCTGCATCCAGGGCTTGGGGCCGGCTGCCCAGGCAGCTTTTGGGCTACAGGAATCCCTGGCGGCTCTCTGCTGGGACCCAGGCAGCAGCCTTGATGCCAGGCAACCTGCACTCAGCTGGGTTTTCAGGGTGGGGAGACTTCCTCGCGACCCCATGGCTCCAACTGAGTTTCCAGAAGGTGGGGCCTCTGCCTCGGCTTCTGACAGGCGCTCTGGGAAGGGGAGCAGGGTCCCATGCCTGCAGGCCTCCCCCTACACCTCCGGAGCGGAGTTGTACTTTGGGGTTTCCTTCTGTGTTGAGGATAAACTCATATTGGTGGGTCCTGAAGTGTGGGGGTCCCGGGGAGAGGACGGTGGGGCCTCGAGAACCACAGATGTATGGGATTCCTCCTGTGCACAGCAGACGCTGGCCTCTCTGACGCCCCAGCCCCAGCCCCTGCTGACAGACCAAGAGCCTCAGGGAGGCGTGGGTCCCTGACTCACCTGTGAGGATGGCCACACTGTCGAAGCAGCCATCCAGCTTGCTCAGCAGGATGGAGAGGAAGCTGTCTGCGGCCAGCACACTGGCGTCCCGAGTGCTCTGGTCATAAACCACCACGTCCTGTGGCTCCGAGGCCTCCACCTGGGGGCCGTGGGGCACAGGTCAGCATGCCGCCCCCACCTATTGATGCCCTGGCCCTGTCCCAGCCACACTGGCCCAAGGGAATAGTGAGGGGTCGGATGATGGGAGGTGAAAGCGGTCACCCTGCTGCCTGGGGGGAGGGTAGGTGCAGTCACACACCTGACACACTCTCCTCCACCTGCCAGCGGCCAGGTGCACACACCCACGCCACACAGCAGCCACGGGGGCAGGGAGGGGCGGGCTCCTGCAGCTGGGCCCCCATGCCATGCACATGGGAGAAGGGGACGGACGCTCTGGCCAGGCCCGTGTCGAGGGTCTCCTCGACACAGGTGAGTGCGATGGGAGCTCAGGACAGGACCTGGCTGGCTCCTTGGGCGGTGGAGGGAAACGGAGGCTCAGCCCATTTCAGGGATTCTAGAGGCGGTACCTTCAGGTGTGGGCTCTCAGTGGGGCTGACTCTGGAGCCAGCGATTCTGCTCTCCACCCTCTCCCCTCCCCAACCCCCAGCGGAGAAACAGAGGACTGTGGCAGGACCCCAGGCCCCTGCACCAATTCCGGAGGCAGCGGCTGGAACTGGGTTCCTCCTGTCCTCCTCCCCTGCCCCGAGGGCCAGCCCAGATGTTGAGTGGCTTTTGCTCAGACAGCACCGGTGCCCCCGCCCGGCGAGCACACTCAGCCCTTAAGCCAGCTGAGCTGCCAGCCCCAGGCTGGCTGACGTCACCGGCAGCCAATGGGATCGCGCTCTGCCGGGAGTCCTCACTGGGGGTCATTAATCACCGGATTCCCCTTGTTGGAAGCCAAAGGGAGCCAACGCTGGCCTTGGGGCAGGCGGACTCCTGGCCAGTGGCTCTCTCACTTGCGTCCTCCCATGCCCCAGCTCCGAAGGGGGCCTATCAGTGACCCAGACCCCTCTCAAAGCCTCCAGGATTGACGGCTTGTCACCCTCGTCCCCCTGTGAGGCAGTCGGAGGAGGAGGTGCCGCTACGTTCACAAGTCAACAGCCCAGCCCGTCCCTCCCCAGCTGCACCTGATAGTCCTGAGGGAACTAGCTGTCCTTCCCCAGAGGGACGTTCCTGGGGGGTCACAGAGAGAATTCTGGGTCCCTGAATACTCGGGGCTAGGGGGAGCTGTGGGATGGGGACATGCTGCTCATGTGTGCCTTTTGACCGACCGCCCCTCCTGTCCTCACAGCAGTCGGAGTGGACGACACAGCTGTCCCTCTCCCGAGTGGGCGTCTGGGCTGCCCCACCCCTGTGTGTTCACACCTGGCTATTCTGTTCACTGCTCCTCTCTATGAGCCTGGGCCGGTCCCAGCCACATAGTCCTGTCTGCGTGAGGAGGGCCAGCACCTCTGTGCAGGTACTGAGTGAGGAGGACTTGGGGGGTGGGGGGATCCTAAGCAGGGACAGCAGGCAGCGATGAAATGCAAGTGCCAGAGGGGACTGCCCCACGCGCCCCTGGCTGTGACCCCAAGGAGCCCAGTTTGGGCTGGAGGGCAGAGGAGGGAGGCTGCCCGAGCTGAGGATTCCTTGGCCGTGGGCTCTGGAGGTGGCGCAGGCCGGCGGGCAGAGGGCTGGGTACCTGGCTGCGTGTGGCCGGCTGGATGAGCTCCGCGATGGTCACCTTGCCCTGCTGCAGCCGCCGCTTCACCAGCTTGGAGCAGCAGATGTTGACGGAGCTCAGCACATGCCAGCTGTTGTATTCCACGAAGGAGCGGCTGTCGATGACCAGCGGTCCCCCAGGCCCGCCCCGCAGCAGGCTGGCCAGCTTCTTGGCGTCCATCACCTTCCTCGGGAGCCGGTCCCCGGCCATGGTGGGGCAGTGGGTGGTGGGGAGGGTGACCCCTGGAGTGAGGAGGGGCTGTTCCGATGGCCCAGGGTGTGGCCTCACGCTGGGTGTGACCTAGCACATGGTGCTGGACCTGCAGGGACAGGGGGATGGTCAGCTGCGTTGCAGGCTCCCCCGTCGCACCCAGAAGCTCCCAGGACAGGCCGGAGCTGGGACCCCAGCCCGCCAGGACATCTGAGCCCAAAATGTGCCTGTGGGACCTTCCTCCCTCCGGAGAGACCCTGTCCAGGTCACAAGGCCAGCTCTCAGCAGGATGCAGCAAGGCAGAAGGGGGCAAATGAGCCCACAGCACGGGACTGGGCTGGCGGGCAGGACGAGGCCAGGGGTCCTTCCTTTGCGCCCTGGAGTTCATGGACACTTATGCATTCCAGAACACTCCATCTCATCCCTGGGATGCAGGCGTCTCCCTGCTCTGACCTCTGCATCTTCCCCACCACAGGACCCCCAGCAAGTCAGGGGTCCAGACGGCACCTCACCCTCCCTCATGGCCCAGCCCTCTGCCCTCCTCCAGGCTCCCTGTCCTCACACCTGCCCCTCCCTCCCTCAGCACAGCCCTGGGGAGTCCAATCCCCAGAGCCGGGACTGCAGGGTGGCTCCCTAAGCCGATAATCCAGCCCCTGGCGGATGGTGGCCTGGGGGCTGTCTCAGCCCCAGTGGGCTCCCAGGGCAGCTGGATGGCAGGCAGGGTGCAGGAGAGCCTTGGGCACAGAGGCACGGCTCCTTTGCCACTGCTGCCGTACTGGCCTGCAGGCCGAGGCCTAGTGCACGCCATGTGCCTGCTAGGGGTGAGTGCCTGGCTCCTGCAGGGGTATGTCATACCCACAGAGTGTCCCTCCTTCAGCAGAGCCTGGGGCCTGGGGGGGCCCTTCAGGGGCTGCTGGAGCCCAAGATGGGGGGGCAGCCCTAGCAGGAAGGTCAGTGTCAGGGACCCGAAGGTGCCAGACCCTTGGCATGGCCTGCAAAGTCCTCAGACTGAAGGGCGGGCAGGCGGAGGAGGCGTGTCTGGGGATGGGGTCTCCAGAAGCCCCTCCTGCAGGCTTGGTGACAAATCTCTGTCACTGCCCCACTTCGGGGCCCATCTCTCCGTCACTTGCCAGGACTGGCCTTCCTCTGGGTCCACTTTAGACTCACAGTCCCTAGGAGGCACATGGAGTAAGGACGATGAGTTTGCTTTAACTATGGGGAAACTGAGGTTTAGGGCAGGGGTGGAACCCACCCCAGGCTACACAGATGGGCGCTGGGTGTCCCTGCAAGGCCATCTTCTCGGTGCCCCCACAGCTGCCTGTCAGTGAGGAAGTTTGCTCCACCCAGCTCAGGGGCGAGGGGAGCTGGGAGGGAGACGCAGCCCAGGCCCTGCGTAGAGCGGGCTCCGGTGGGCAGAGCGGGCTCTGGTGGGCAGGAGCAGGTTCCGGTGGGCAGAGGGGGCTCCGGTGGGCAGGGCGGGCTCCGGTGGGCAGAGGGCTCTCAGCAAGCCAGGCCCCCAACCACAGCTACAGGGGGCACTGGGGGGAGGTGCCCTGAGGACACCCATCACTGCAAATGGGCTGGGGACAGTGGCCACCACCGTTTCTGTACTCTCCGGGTCAGTTCCCAGGCCGGAGGGCCGGGGGCTGTTAGGAAAGTTCACAGAGCAGCAGGTGCAAGGCCCGTGTGGACCGTGTCCCTGGCCCAGCCTGAATCCAGCCTGAGGGGCAGGTCCCAGCCCCTCCCTGCCCAGGAGCCCCAGCTGCCCTCATTCTCCTCCGGACGCTTCACACTCAGCCCCTGCCAGGCCTCTCCCGCCTTTCCCAGGCCCAGGCATCTGTGTGTTCCCAGCACCCCTGCTGCCACCAGAGCCCAGGGAAACACCTGCCTTAGCTGACCCCGCAGCTGACACCTGGGCCTGCGGTGGCACCTGGTCAGCGGGGCTTCGGGAACCCACTAGGACCCTGCTCCCCGGCCTGCGCTCCAGCCTCCACCACAGGGTGCCCTCCCCAGGGCCACACCTGCTGCCTCTTCTGAGTTCTACCCAAGTCTTACACAGGTGGCAACATGCAAGGGCCCAGATGTGTGGTCCTGGGGAGGCAGTGGCTTTAGGTGCCCCGTACAACACCCAAGGGCCCAGCTCAGAGGCTTAGGACCCTGAGAAGGCCAGAGGGGCAGAGACACTTGGGGGTCCTTCTAGGAGCACCCCTGGCCTCAATGTCCTCATCCGTTTAGTGGGGGTGGATTCTCTCTCACTGAAAACAACAGAAGCAAATACTCCTCCCCCCACCAACCTCTCCCCCACCCCCCCACCATGCAGGGAGGAGGCCAGGTGTGAGGAGAGGCCCCTGCCCTCCCTGCAGCCAGGGCCTGGCCATCATACAGCCTTGAGTCCTGATACCACCAGGAGGTGGAGAGGGGCACCCGCACCACAGACAGCCAGGCCTGAGCCCCAGAGGGAGCAGACGGAGGGGCAAGTCCGGCTGCAGGGAGGTGGGTGGGCAGGGGTCGGAGGGCCAGGAGGATGGGTGGGCAGGGGTCGGAGGGCCGGGAGGATGGGTGGGCAGGGGCCGCAGGGGTGGGAGGATGGGTCTGGCCTTTACCTGGGCCTGCCCCACCTCCCAAGTAACAAGTAACCCCAAGCTGGAGCTGGGCTGTCACCGGCAACAGTATTGTTATTTGCAGCCGAAGGGGACTCATTAGCAAGTTAGCACCTCCATCGTCGCCATGGCAACAGCAGAGGTGCCAGGCAACCGCTGCTCCTGCGGCAGCCGCCACCATAGAGCAGGCTCCTCTGCAGAGTGGGCATGTGCCCCTCCCTTCGCTCCCACCCACCCCAGCAGGTTTCTGGCAGTCCAGAGCCCAGTGGGGTGGGTTCCCCAGCCCCTCCGCTCCTCTGCCCTTCCTGGTCCTAACCTTCCTGTGCACGCTTGGTGCCTGCCGTGCCCAGGCTCACTCCCTGGAGGCCTTCTCTGTACTTGGAAGGGCTGACCGAGTGGCCCTCCTTCAGGAAGCCTCCGTGCCATGCTGGCCTCTGGGAGAGCATCCTCACCTACAGGGTCTCTGGACATACAGCTCCCGGGGGAAGGTCCCTCACCTCTGGCTCCCCAGATGCTAAGGATCAGGGCCCAGCTATGCCAGGGATGAGGCAGGTTGGGTGGGGCGGGGAGCGGAGACACTAGGGACAGCCTGGTGCAGATCAGTGGGGCCAGCACTGGCCACGTGGGAACAGAGGAAAGGAAACATGGATGTTGGTTCTGTGTCTCTCCTTTCCCCACCCCACATCCCAAGCCCTCCTGAGCACCTGTGGCCCTGCTATTCCAGGGCCTATGTGTTAGGTGGTGAGAGCCATGGCTGACGGGATGTCCGCCCCCCAACCCCTGGCACAGCCCCATATATCCTCTTCAAAGGTCTTTGAGCCCAGGAGGAAGTTTCCAAGCCCAAAGTCAGAAGGAGGCTCCTCCCAGGCCCACACCTTCCAGGAGGCAGCGGGCAGCCGCCCTGCCCTGGGACACAGCAGCCTGACTCCAGTGCGGCGTGCACACTGTCCTCTGTGTGTGCCAGAACACACCCATTTGCACACCCACTCCAAACACGGCTGGTGCTCCCAGCTTACCCACAATGCACCTGCCTGTGTGCAAGCACCCACGTGAGAATGTGCGCACACGCACGTGGTGCTGCGCACGCACCACAGTCCACGCACAACCTTGCCCTCTGCATGCAGACTTCCGGGAACCCCAGGACCCCAGTGCCCCAGGGGTCAGCTTGACTCCTCACGAAAGAGAGCTCCCACACCTGAGGCCCCCACGCAGCACATCCCTGACCCTGAGCACAGATGGGACCAGGGAGTCCTGGGCCATCCCCAACTCCCCACTGACAGCATCCTCACCAGGTTACCTTCTGCTCGGCACCTAGAGACAGGGAATTCACTACCTTCAGAGACGGCTGCCAGGACTGTCAACCATGGGGAGATGGGACCATGCCTCCCCCTCACACCCAGGCAGGCCCTCGGAGCTGTCTGGCTCATTGGCTCAGGGCGCCTCTGGAGGCAGAAGTCATGCTGAGAAGGCTGGGGAGAGACTGGTGGTGCCTCTGGGAGGCAGGGGCCCTGCACTCTCACAGGTCAGGTCTGCCCTCACTGGGCTCCCCCAAACACCCTCATCCCTGCATCCCCTCAACTCTCTGGGTTAGTGCTGCAGGACTCAAGCTGCCTTCCCTCTGCTCCACTGGGCCAACGGCAAGGCCAGGCAGAGCCACCCTGGCCTGGGAAGCTGTGGACCTGGGAGAAAGTGGGGTGGGCTGGAGGTTGCCTGCAATCCCAGGAACAGGGTCTGAGCTTGGCACAGGGGACTGTGACAGCTGACCCTCAGAGCCGGACAATCCAGGTTCCCTCCCTTCCCACCGGGCCTGTGCCCCTGCTCCCAATCACTGTGCCACACGAGAAACACCGGGACAAGCCTGGGGCTTCCACAGGTCACAGCGCTGAGCAACTCAGGCAGAAGGGGCGTCAGCCCGTGCAGTTCTCATGGCCGGAGTCCAACCATCTCTCTCTCGCCCTGGGTCTGCCCCCTTCCCCGCCTTCTGCAAGAAGTGACTCCTAGGTCTCTCCAGTCCCCGGCCGATGCCCCTTCGAGGAGGCGCCTGTCCAGTAGTAGCCTCTAGGCCCTGACTTCAGCCCCAGTCTGAGGAGACAGGAGTTCTGGAGTAGAGACTGGCTCTAAACGTCTTTCAGCATCTCTGTTCCCGGGACTTTATTCCCAGAAGCCTCCCGGAGGAGGGAGGGCACCAGAGGAACAGAACCTGCCTGGCAACATGCCCAGAAACACTCGTGCAGCCCCAGGCTGGCTGCAGCAGGAGGTATTTCAGTGAGACCTCAGGATGAACTGCCAGCTTGTCACATGACCTGCCATTCGCATCCAGTGCTTATTAGCAGTGAATGCATGGCACTGTCCTCAAGGTGCAGGGCTCAGCCTGGGGTACTACAGCCACCCCTGGACCCCCCCAGGTGCAACAGTGTCTGAGACTGAGTTGGGCCAGGAGGGAGGCAAGGGAGAGGGCAGGGGCCTGGACCTCCACTCAGACCCCTTGCAGGGGCACAAAAGGAGCTTCCCCGGCCTGCAGCAAGCACCCCACCCCCACCCCAGGCCGCACCGCAAGAGCACTGCGGAGCCACGCTGCCTCCTCCACCCCCTCCTCCATCCCGCGGCGTCCCCGCCCCCCATCATGCAGCACCAGGGCCCCTTCTGCCCCCAGCAGAGGCCGGTACACCCAGGAGCAGGGAGTCGGAGGCAGATTCTCCCGGACGGGGTGACCTGGTGGGGGCTGGGCCTATTGTCACCCTCCCCCTTCCAGGCCAGACTCTCAGGTACCCCCACCTGGCCCGCTCCGCATCCCCGCCCGGCAGCAGGGCCTGGCGAGGCGGCTGCAGCAGCCTGGCTGTGCCAGCCCCTCCCCCAGCGCCAAGGCGGCCTCTGCACCAGGCGGAAGGACGCGGGGGCTTCATCCCGCAGGGCCGGTTGGGCACCCCGGGGTAGGGGCTCGGGGCGGCCTGGACGTTCGGGAGGATGGATCTGCAGCCCTCCCCCCGACAGCGGGCGGCCCCTTCCGGGGTGTCCCAGGCCAGAGGCCGCCGCGTCCCTCCCACGGCCCAGGCTCCGCACCTCCCGGGTCGGCTCAGGGCCGGGGTCCGCCCGCTCCGGCTCTGCCCCCCGCGGGGGAGCCGTTCGGGGCGTCGGGGGCTCTCGCGGGGGCTCGCATGGATCCGCGCTGGATCGCAAGTGGCCCCGGAGGGTCCCTGACGTGCGTCCCCCGCCCTCCCCACCCGGAGACTGAGCTGCGCGGAGAAGGGCGGCCGCGCGGCAGGCGGGCGTGGGCTGGGCCGGGGTCCTCCGGGCGCTGCGGGGAAGGGCCTCGCTGTCCCGGGCGCCTCCGGGGCCGCCGCCTCCTTCTCCCGGGCGCCCGCCGGGTGCAGCCGTCCCCAGCGCCCCTGGGCCGGGCTGGTGAACCACGACCCGGTCCCCGCCGGCGCCCGCCCCCGCCCCCGCCCCCGCCCCACTCACCTCGCTGGCGCTCGCCTCGGGGGCACTCCGGGGGCCCGCGCCGCGCTCAGGGCGCCCGCTCGGCTGCGCCGTCCATGGGCCCGGCGGGGGCCCGCGCAGCCGGGGCAGGGGCCGGGGGAGCGCGCGGGCCGCGTCGCCGTCGCCGCCGCCGCCGCCGCCAACGCCGCGGGGAGCGCTCGCTCGGGCCGGGGCGCGCGCACTGCGGGCGGGCACGCGCGCAAGCGGCGCGCATCCCAGCCCCGCGGCTCGGCGGGCGCGGCCGGGCGGTTCCGGCGCGGCTCGGGCTCGGGCCCCGGCGTCCGGCGTCCGGCGGGGCGGGGGGCGCCGGGGGGGCCGCGGAGCCGGCTGGGCCGCCGCGCTCGGCCGCGAGTGACAGGCCCGGGGCGGAGGGCGGGGCGGCCGCGGGGATGAGGTCATGCCGAGCGAAAAAAGCCCCTGACGTCACCTGTATCCAATCAGCGCGCGCGGCTCGGGGGCAGGTGACGTCAGCGGAGCCCGGGCTCGGGGTGAGGACAGGAGGCGGCGGCCGCGGGGGGGTGCGGGTCGGGTCGCGCCGCCGCCGCCGCCGCCTTCCGCCCTCCGCGCTCACCCCGGGACCGGCTCTTAAAGGGGCCACCGGCGCCCGGGCCCGGTGCGCGCGGACCCCGCCTCCAGGAAGCCCTCCCGGCCCCGCGTTCTGCGTTCCCCGGGGACCCCCGCCGCGCCGCACAGACCCCTGGCGGTCCCGCCAAGCGGCCCCGGGCGCGAAGTCCTCTCTCCGGCCCGCTCCCCCCTCCGCCCAGTCTTTGTTGGCGCGGGGCCGCCGCCGGGAGCCCTCCCCAGACCCGCGCTGTCGCCCCTCGCGTCCCGGGCGCATGTTTTACCTGCAGCGGCTGCGCTCGCCCCGCCGCGACCCCCGCAGGACGGAGCCGGAGACCCCTGACTCGGTCGGACCCCGGACGCTGTGATCACCGACTAGCCGCCCGCCTCGGGCCACACATCCACGAACTCCAGGGGGGGCTCCCCAAGACGACGCTGCCCCTCCAGGACACCCGGCCCTCCCGCTTCCGTGGAAAGCCTCCCAGACGACCTCCGTGCGAGCTGCTGAGTGGCCGCTCCCCGCCGACCGCTGTGGGAACAGCTCCGCGCGCGCGGCGGGGACGCGGCGAGTCCGGGGCAGGAAGAACGCGCGCGTAATTGCACCTTGGTAGGTGCTGGGCGGGAGCGACGGGGTCAGACTCGCGCTGGACGGGAAGGGCGGGCGGAGGCCTCGCTGTCCTCGAGGAAGGGGACAAAGACCCCTGCCCGGGAGCCAAGGAGCCTGGGAGCCTTTGAAGGTAATGATTTTTTTTTTGGGGGGGGTGACCAGACACCCCAGACATTTCTAAAAGGCCCCCTTCCCGCTGCCGGGTGGAGAGGGAGAGTGCGGGTGGTCCGCCTTCTGCCTGGGCCTCGCAGGGTCACCCCGCGGCTGTGAGAGGCCTCGGCCGCTGGTTGAATGAGGGGCCACAGAAAATGAAGCTGGCGCGACGACCGCAGAACTCTCGGTGGGCACCCAGGACCCCAGAGCTCGGGGTGCGAAGGCGATTCAGGCTGGGGGTGGGGAGGATTGTGGGCAGCAGGGGGTGCTGAGCGGGGCTCCGGGTCCCCGGTTTCCATACCCAGTCTCCCTGCAGGCCTCAGAGCTGAGCACACAGCTGGCGATTAATAAGTGCTTACAGCTCCCTCCCTGGCTAGCCTGAGGGGACCGGGCAGTTGCCCGTGTGGGGTGGGGGTGGCGGTGGCGTGCGTTCCCGGCGCAGAGTTGGCACACAGGACAAACAAATGCCTTGGCGGGCATGGGGCTGTCCCAGAAGGAAGCCCTGGGAGCCCAGGGGTGATTGGGGTTGGGGCTGTGCCCCAAAGCGGAGGGCCCTGCGAGAAGGGAGGTCCTGGCTGGAGGGGACCCCTGGGCTGGAGCTGCGGGACCCCGATGCGGGTCCTGGTGAGTGGGGGTGAGGGCCGCAGGCTTGCTGGGTTTGAAAAGCGGGAGAGGCTTGGCCCTGGGAGGGGGCAGGACGATTCAGGCCGAGACCCGGAGGGGGCCGGGTGGCCACAGGGAGCGAATGAGGTCCCTGAGGAAGTAGTCGCAGGCTTGGAAGGGCCTGGGACCGCATGCGTGGAGGTTGTTGGTTAGATAGAGAGGCTGTCTTTTGGGGGAAAGCCTCACCTGGCTTGCTCCCCCTGCAAGGCCTAGGTGAGCCTAATGGGGAAGGGACCGGTGCATCTGCTGCCCAGCTGGGATGTGGCCCGCATCTGCCTGTGGCCTGGGAGTGCCCATTGTCCCCTAAGAGCTCTGGTTATACCCTGGGCAGCTCCTGGCCAGGCTGGAGCAGGTGGCAGGCAGCGAGCTTGAATCCCTCCTGGAGGCTCCCAGGGGGTGGCTTGGCGGGGAACGCAGCTTCCCCTGGAGTGCCTGGGCTGTCCCTGGGGAGGGGAGCGCCCTTGGGCGCGATTGTTATAATCCTCCTGGTCATTTTCGTGCAAATAAGCAGTGAGAATCTTAGGTTCTGCCCCCAACCAGGGGGGAGGGTTGGGGAGGTGGCGCCCTGGAGAGGACTGGCTGTGGCTTTTCTGCGGCCCCGCTGCTTGGATCCTTGTGCCCTTTGCACCCGGCAGGGGCCGGCGGGCTGGGCGGGCTGGGCGCGTGCCTGGGGTGGGCGCAGGGGCCTGCGTGCCCCGACCGGCTCAGCTCAGTTCAGCTCGGCTGCCGCACCGACTCCCAGCACAGGTGTGGACGTGGGTGGCAGGCGCGACCCACGGAGGGGGCTTTGGTGTCAGTCCCGACCCGGGCCTATAGACGCCGCCTCGGGTCTCCGAGGCTAGGGAGGCCAGGGAGGCAACAAGGCCGCAGCGAGGGTCCTGGCGGGGCCCAGCAGCCTCGCGCAGGACGCGCGTTCGGGGCCGGACGGGTGGGGTCTGAGCGGGACCGGCCCGGCGGTTCGCGCGCGCCCTCTGCCGTCCGCAGGCTCGCCGCCAGGAGGACGCCCAAGGTCGTTTCCCGAAGCATCCTTATGCGGGAGGAGCGCTGGGCTCACTTTGTCGCTGATGCGCATGTAATTGTTTCAGCTAATTATGTACAGCAAACCTCCGTGCCATGGCTTTCCCAGCCTTTTTAAAGTCAAGGCATAGTTAAGTCAATAAAATGCCCATCCCAGCTGTTCAAGTAGGCTTTTTTCCAGTTATTTCTTTAAAAACCTTATTTTTTTATTGTGGTAAAATACAACAGCATACGGTTACATGCCACGTACCATATGAATTATTTTCAAGTGAATTTATCAGCATTAAGTACATTCACGTTGCTGTGTGAGCATCACCACCACCCATCTCTGGAGCTCTTCATCTTGCAAAATTGGAACTCTGTGCTTATTAGACAGGGTTAGTTATTAGTTCCCAACCCCCGCTCCGTAGCGTTTGGCACCCATTATTCAAGTAAATGGCATTCTTGTCATCCAGGCTGGAGTGCGATGGCGTGATCTCAGCTCACTGCGACCTCCATCTCCAGGTTCAAGCCATTCTCCTGCCTCAGCCTCCTAAGTAGCTGGAATTACAGGCATGTGACACCACGCCCAGCTAAATTTTGCATTTTTAGTAGAGACGGAGTTTTGCTGTGTTGGTTAGGCTGGTCTTGAACTCCTGACCTCAAGTGATTCTCCCACCTCGGCCTTCCAAAGTGCTGGGATTACAGGCATGAACCACCACGCCTGGCCAGTAGATGGGTTTTGACAACTGTGTATACAGTTTTATTACCACCATAATGACACCTAGAAACTTTGTTACTCAAGGAAGTTCCCTGGTGCCCCATCCTCACCCTCTGACCTGTTGCCGTCAGTTACTGCCATCTGTTCCTGTACTTCATAGAAATGGAAACATACAGTGAGTGGACTTTTGCCCTGGCATCTTTCACTCAAGGAAATTCCAGACAGTCTCTCTGTCGCCAGGCTGGAATGCAGTGGTGTGATCTCGGCTCACCGCAACCTCTGCCTCCTGGCTTCAAGCGATTCTGCAGCCTCAGCCGCCTGAGTAGCTGGGATTACAGGTGCCCACCACCACGCCAGCCTAATTTTTGTATTTTTTAGTAGAGATGGGGTTTCATCACGTTGGGCAGGCTGGCCTCGAACTCCTGACCTCAAGTGATCCACCCGCCTCAGCCTCCCAAAGTGCTTGGATTACAGGCGTGAGCCGCCAGGCCCGGCCTTAAGGAAATACCTTTCAGATTCATCCATATTGCTGCTTTCTCACAACCTGATAATAAATATCTCTGTGGTACTGTATTTTATGGGTGTACAGCGATAGTTGAACCAATTCTTTATGTTTTACATGTTAGGTTAGTTTCATATTTGGGCTGTAAAAAACTGCAGTGGGTCGCATCCTATGATATATGCTTTAAAAAAAAAAAAAAAAGGATACAGGGTCTCACGATTTTATCCAGGCTGGACTGAACTTCTCACGGGCTCAAGCGATCCTCCTGCATCAGGCTCTCAAGTAGCTGGGATTACAGGCATGTTCCACCACACCCAACTCCTACGTGTTTTTAACACACTTTTCAGATTACTTTTCTTTCTTTCCTCCCGCCCTCTCTCCCCTATTTCCTTTCTTCCATGATTCCATCCTTCCTGTCTTCCTTTTCTCTCTTGACAGGAGCTCACTCTGTCACCCAGGCCGGAGTGCGCTGGTCGGAACATGGCCCACTGCAGCCTCAACCTCCTGAGCTCAGCGGATCCTCCCATCCCAGCCTCCTGAGTAGCTGGGTCTACGGAAGTGTGCCACCATGTCTAGCTAATTAAAAAAAATTTTTTTTGGCCAGGTCTAGTGGTCTGTATGCCTGCAATCATAGCTACTTGGGAGGCTGAGGCACAAGAATCGCTTGAACCCAGGAGGGGGTTGCAATGAGCTAAGATCGTGTCACTGCACTCCAGCCTGGGGGACAGAGTGAGACTCCATCTCAAAAAAAATTTTATTTATTTATTTATTTTTTTGTAGAGATGAGGTCTCGCTATGTCACCGAGGCTGGTCTTAAACTCCTGGGCCTAAGCAATCCTCCTGTCTCGGCCTTCCAAAATGCTGGGATTACGGGATTCTTTTCTTCCCTAAGTTTTTTTGAGATGGAGTTTTGTTCTTGTTGCCCAGGCTGGAGTGCACTGATGCAGTCTCGGCTCACTGCAACCTCTGCCTCCTAGGTTCAAGTGATTCTCCTGCCTCAGCCTCCCAAGTAGCTGGGATTATAAGCATGTGCTAAGATGTCCAGCTAATTTTTGTATTTTTAGTAGAGATGGGGTTTTGCCATGTTGATCAGGCTGGTCTCGAACTCCTGACCTCAGATGATCTGCCCACCTTGGCCTCCCAAAATGCTGGGATTACAGGCATGAGCTACTGCACTCAGCCTCTCGTTTTTTATTATGACATTTTAAAAGTTAAATGTGCAGTCCGGGCGTGGTGGCTCAAGCCTGTAATCCCAGCACTTTGGGAGGCCGAGGCGGGTGGATCACGGGGTCAAGAGATCGAGACCATCCTGGTCAACATGGTGAAACCCCGTCTCTACTAAAAATACAAAAAATTAGCTGGGCATGGTGGCGCGTGTCTGTAATCCCAGCTACTCAGGAGGCTGAGGCAGGAGAATTGCCTGAACCCAGGAGGCGGAGGTTGCGGTGAGCCGAGATCGCGCCATTGCACTCCAGCCTGGGTAACAAGAGCGAACCATCTCAAAAAAAAAAAAAAAAAAAGTTAAATGTGCATAGAGAGCAATATAACACATACCTACCTGCTAGACTAAGCAATCTCAGCATTTTTCTGTTTTTGCTTCAGGTGAAGAAAACAACAGTGTGGAAGCACGTGAAACCCCCGTCCCACCTCCTCCCCTCTTGCCAGAGGCCGCCGCAGCCAAGGTTGGTGAAGGTCTTCCCAGTGCTGTCTTCCTAGCTTCGCTGCTTATATGAGTCCCCAGGTACAACAGGTAGCTTAATTTTGTGTGTTTTCAGCTGTTCACATATGAGTGTCATAGGGCACCTGTGCTTTTTCCATTTCATTTTTCGCCATGCAGCCTACTTAATTTTTTATGCAAATGAGTTCTTTTGTTTTAGCCGCCCTGCGGGCTTCTGTTGTGTGAACAGACTGTTTAGCTGGGGTGGGTATCATTAGCTTTGCAGTTTGGGCTCCATGAGGCTGTGC